CTGACACGTACATTCTGCATCACTTGTTGAAGAACATTGCCTTTTATATTTGAATTTTCCTGTAGAGCAAAAACAGATATCCCATATTGGCACTCCTTTCTCAAAGCATCTGGGACAGAAACAAGTCAATTCTAGAAAAACATTGTAATGGGGAGCTATGATGAAGAGAGGGACCTTCTGGCTGATTTTCTTCAGATGACTCAAACAGAGTGTAGTCCAGAAAAATACAGTGGATGCACCAAACTGATCTTCACTTTGGCAATTATTTTTTTTTCCTTTTTGGTCCTACAGAGGTATCAAAATTAGGCCCAGCTAAGAACATAAGAATGGCCATACTGGGTCAGACCAGAGGTCCATCTAGCTCAGTATCCTGTCTTCCGACAGTGGCCAATACCAGATGCACCAGAGAGAGGGAACACAACAGGGAAACTTCAAGTAATCTCCCTCCTGTCACCCATTTCTAGTCTCTGAAAGAGGCTAGGGACACCATTCCTATTCATCCTGGCTAATAGTCAGTGATGGACCTAACCTCCATGACTTTATCTAGTTGTTTCTTGAGCCCTGTTAAAGTCCTGGTCTTCACAAGATCCTCTGGCAAGGAGTACCACAAGTTGACTGCGCTGTATGAAGAAAAGCTTCCTTTTGTTTTTTTAAACCTGTTATCTATTAATTTCAGTTTGTGACCCCTAGTTCTTATATCATGAGAATAAGTAAATAACTTTTCCTTATTCACTTTTTCCACACCAGGCATGATTTTATAGACCTCTATCATATCTTCCCCCTCCCCATTAGTCTTTTCTTTTCTAAGCTGAAAAGTCCCAATCTTTTTAATCTATCATCATATGGGACCTGTTCCAAATCCCTAATAATTTTTGTTGCCCTTTTCTGAACCTTTTCCAATGCCAATATATCTTTTTTGAGATAAGACAACCACTTCTGTATGCAGTATTCAAGATGTGGGCGTACCATGGTTTTATACAGAGGCAATAAGATGTTTTCAGTCTTATTCTTTATACCTTTTCAAAAAATATACAAAACTGTCTTCTTGCTTTTTTGACTGCCACTGCACATTGAGTGGATGTTTTCAGAGTACTATCCACAATGACTCCAGGATCTCTCTTAGGCCTTGTTACAAAACCCTTTTTACAGCTAGGGACCAAGTTTTTGCTTCCATACTTACTAGAGCCATGCACTTCTGATTCACACACAGAAAAGGGGCATTTCTGCCATTGATTTGCAAATGAAGCTTTGCTGGGGGCGGGGTTAGCATACATCGACACGCTGTTGAAAAGGCCCCTGGAGCATTTGGATTGCTCCTGTACCAACAGTGCGCTGGCTGAGCAGGGCCACTTGCAACCCCGCAGAGCCCCGCAGAGCCCCGCTCACCTTCGCACCGGCGGCAGAGCGTGCAGGCCTCGCGCGAGCCCCACTGGCTGGAGAAGGTGTCCGCGGGGCAGGGCTTGCAGCCGGGCGCCGCGCTCGGGAGGAAGGAGCCTGGAGGGAGCAGAGGGCAGGGCCGTG